ATCTCAGCGTTGACAACACAATGTTTTCTCCATTCCCTTCAACACATGAAGAACATTCAATGTCCTGTGTCCCCACCTTGTGTCCTGCACTCTCCAATGCCCATTACCAAACAAAAAACCTATCTCCGACGTCCAGTTAAATTTCTTTTTTTACGATTTTAAACCATTCTAGTTTTAAATACTTAAAAAGCCGAATAATTTTCTATTCATGGCTTTGTAACCATGCTAGTTGGAAACGATTTCAAAATTAAAAAAGATAAGAAATTCTCTTTACCATCAATTTTATGGCCAATCGGATGTGCAAACTGCAGCCTTTTATTTTATCGTAATTTTAGTATGAACAATGTGCTAAAAGAGAGATGGATATTTACCTAAATATTGCAATGGATTTGGGAAACCAGCAGAATGTCCAAATACATTTCTGAGTTTCATGTTACAATCCACAGTAACTAAGGAACTCAAGTCGAAGCAAGAAACTAACTGATGACTGTCACAGACTAGAACCACTTTTTAAGTGGGTGTCCAATTGGTTTTAACCAGATAGTGTTCGAGAGCTTTCATTTAACGGTATAACATCATAAAACAATAAAATCAACATACTAACGAACCAAAACAATTTAATCAACGGACCAATCAACGTATTAAAGCAATACAAGTCCACGAAATTAATCCTAAATGTAAACTTGCTTTTAATATTTTAGTAAATAGTACAATATCAGAGAAATTGATTCAAACTGAAGCCATAATATTGATTTCTGGAACCATTATACGTTGCTATTTTTTGAAGTCATAATTAGATGCAGAATATTTTCAACCTGTTTTCGCTAAAATTTATAAATCAAGTTTAAGAATTATAATAATATTTTTCAACTTAACACTAAATTGAAGTTGCATTGCAACAAGATAGAACGATTTGTTTCAACGCATGCCAAAATTTCCAACGGTGTAAATGTAGCCGAAAATTTTTAAAGTATTTATAAAGCAAAGATTTTTGTGGTTAGTTTCTGAAATTCTGCGTAAACTGGGAAAATTTGTTACTATAATTAAGATGTTGTTTATTTAGAACTTGAAATTTTGTATGTTCACTGTTAGTAAAAAAAAATTAAGGAAAAGCTTTCTCATCATGATGGAATTATATTTAAAAAAGAAGAAAAAAAGCAAAAAAAAAAAGCTTAGCTTCCTTCGCAATCTGTCTTTTGTTTATTTTTGCCCATTATTTCTTCCTGAAACAAATAAATGCAGAACCTCTTCCATAAACCATATTAATTATACAACAAAAAGTCAAAACAATATTAGTTGAAAATAAAACTACTTAAAAAATAAATTAGAATATGACGTTCAAAAAGACCATTAGCTTATTCAAGCGAGAAATAATGTTGAAAGCTAAGACTCCAGGCGAAAAAAAAAACTTTTTTTCTTTGAAATTTCAGTTTTATGCTTTTAAATGAAGCTGTTGCACCATACATAATTATCAAGTGCATAAAGGGGGAAAATAAAGAGTTATGGCATGAATAGAAGAAAAAAATAAATGACAGTAAAAAGTTTTAATTGGTTAACGCGTTGAAGCTTGTTTAATAAAAGCGATATTTTTATTTAAAAGTGGCGAAACTACGCTTTTTCATTTATATTGTAAATTATAGACATCGTTGTATTTTATTGTCATTTCTCAAAAGAGACTGTAATAGACTAAAGAGACTATAATCAAAATAGACTATAGAGTTTTTCAATATATTTTTAACGACATCTATAATTACAAAAACCTCGCTGTTTCATACGGCGCAATATGTGTATTTTTTTTTCAATTAGATTTCCCCATAAAATTTTTCTTATAGAGTAATAAATTATTATATTTTAATCAACATCAATCGAAATACTTTACAAAGTTTAGTAGACAACCACTGGAAGCACAATTTAAAAAAAAAGACGCAGGTAATTAGTAATTAGCTGTTTGAACATCCATAAGCAGTAAGGCTATACTAAATATTAAATTGGTGTATTAAGTAGCATTAATTAGCATATTTATTAGCTTACTCATAATGCTGTGCTAATTAATACTATTTAATATTTATTCTAATTAATATTACATAATTACTTCATGTGTTTTGAGTTTTCATGTAAAAAACGATAGTGGGAAATTAAAAGCATATTTGAGGATTAAATTAAAATCCAGAATCAGTTAAAAGAATCCTCTCGCCTATGAGAAATTGCTATTAAGCGTATCTCGTACGTTTTAATTCTTTAAGAATATGAAAACTATTCGAATAAGTATATTCTTAAATGTATTTACATATATACAATTGATATATTCAATGCAAAAACTATATATGTTATTCCGGTTACATTAATTATTAAGTTTTCCTTAAATTCAAAAGTTATGAAACGTAACTAATATTAAATAGTAAGCAAAAAAGGAAATAAAAGAATTTAGTTTAATTAATTATTAGATTTTCTTTAAAATCAAAATTTATAAAATGTGATCGATGTTAAATCGCTCATTGCAGCCGCAAAGTGCATTTCTTCTTTTATTCTAAATTCATCATTTCTGTGCGGGAAGAAAAACCTATTATGTCTATCATATGCTTCATTAACTTATTTTGCGCCAGAGGGCGCTTGTATCTTCTTGTTTCTCGGAGCCAGATCTCATTCGGTAGGTGAAGCAAATGGATTCAAGCAGACGACGCTAAAATCGATATGTGCATGTCACTGTGAATGTGACACTGATTATAACATCATTTTACAGTTTTTTTTTCTGTGTGTCATGGGGAAGATATTTCTGGTCTTTTAATGCTAAATGACACGGAAATATGAAACGGGAAAGCATTTTGCCTTATTCTTTTTCACATTTATCTGAGATTTGTTTCTTTCTTGTCACAGTACAGTGTGCCAAGAAATGGGGCAAATGATTTTGATTTCATAGCCAAGGGAAGAACTTTTTAGCATACAAATAACAGTATGATGTCAAAAAGAATATTTTAATTTTGTCTCTTCTTGGCTTTTAGAAAAATAAATCAAATTGAAAAATAAAATTCAATTGAATAGCGAAGTGTGTTTAACAATTCTGTTTTCATATTTTTTATCTTGCAAAAATAGGACGATTACATAAGATGCAAATTTGGGATACTAAAAAATATGAATGGAGTAATTCAAAGTAATAAGTATATATATTTGGTAGTTTAAATGTAATTGAGTAAGAGCAAAAAATATTCTTATTACCATCTTCTGAAAATATTTTGCTGGTTTTAAACATTTTTGTTTACTTGAATGTTATACAATCTCAGCATGGGTTAAGTTCAATTTATATAAGATTGTTTTACAGCTATCGTCATAAAGTTGCCATCTGTATTCACTTAATAATCTCACAAAACGTCAATTGTTAGTTCTGTTTTTTTATGTATAGCTTAGGGTTTATTGAATGCTGCGCCATATGCTTAAAATGAAAATTTTATTCCGTGCTCAATTTTGAGCAATTTTAAGCAATTGTGTAATCATAGAAGCATGAGGTTTAGCTTAAGGTAATTAGATATCCTCAAATCTTGAGGACATTTCTCGAATTACCTTGATTGCTTAAAATATTTCCAAACGCTTTGAGAACAGAAAATGTCTTCAAATTTTAACAGATGTTCTCAAATGTCTTCAAATTTCAGATCAAATATTTAAAAAAAATCTCAAATGTGTCTGGTTTTTTTTAATTTTTTTTTATTTTAAAGATATAGTTTTGTTTTACAGAGAATACAAACGAAAATCTAGTAAGCATCATGCTAAAGGATGAAAATTGAAAATGCCATATTCATTTTAAAATAATTTCAGCAAAAAATAAATAAATTTTAATAATCATGCACTGACTCTTTTTACTTATGTTCAAATTCAGATTTCTTTGTACATTTCAAAACTGCTCCGTACGGTTCTGCACCCGATATTAGTTAACAATTTAAAAAAATAATCTTTCTTGCACATATAAATTAATATTTTCCATAAATATATGGGTGTCTTTAAAATTTAAAATTTTTCAAGCACTCTCCGCTAATTTGTCTCAAATCATTATATGTAAATCTGGTTACCTTAGGTTTAACGCAACAGCTCTACCTTATAAATAATTTATCTACTTAATAAAAAATTTTGTTTCAAATAGAAAAAAACCAGTATAAACTTGCAAAGGGACACTTTCAGAATTATAATAATAATATCTTAATGTACTTAACAATTAAAAATAACAGGTTTTGTGCAGAGTTTGCTTTGGCCAAAACCAATAAATATTTATCCCATACTTTTATTTCTCACTTAAGAAAAAAATGTTTCAGATTTTTCTAAACACATTTTTTTTTTAAAATAAATTTAACAGAAAAAAATTTATTCTTCTTTAAAAAATTTACATTAACTGTAATTAAAAATTACTAACTTTTAAAGCAATAGAATAGTTTCAATTTGCATTTAAACAATTTTTATCACGCTACTAAATTTTTAGTTTGTGTAATTTTATATTTTTAATTATCTTCTTCTTAGTAAGATATATCTTCATTTATCGAGTTATATTGAAAGTAATCTAACTTACTGAGTTATAAACTATAAATAGAAATCTAATAAATATAAAGATTATATTTTATTGATACTGTTACGTCAAGCGCTCAGGTATCATAATTTTGATCTAGTTGCGCTTTCGATCTAGTTGCGCTTTCAACGTTATTTTGTTAACATTGTTTTGTTTGTCATTTCTAAGTTAACTTTCAAAAAATTCTATGACTGGCAACAGCATTTTTGTCTTTTAAGTTGCTTATTTTTATTTTTTTTAGAATTCGTTCTTTTTTAGCGAAATGTTTTTAAACCTAACAGAATTCTTTGCCGACTGTTATCTCTATATATGAAGAAAATAAAGTAAATATTTAAGTGTTGTGAAAAGAATCTTATTTAGTTGTACAAAGTACTTCAGATACAATGCTTTTTATTGTGTAATTAAAATATAAACGCACCATATAATCCTAAACATTACTCTTTTTTTCTTGCAGGAGCTCTTTTCTTACAAGTATTTGATACTTTACCTGAAGACAGGGAAGTAAATCCAGGCGAGCTGATAATCATACCGTGCAAAGTTCGAAATCGTAAAGGTGAATGTGCGTGGCTTAAAGATGGTGTGGTTGTTGGCAAAATACCCGGAAAGTACACATTCAACAGAGAGCCCGATGATGGAAACTGCGGAATCACTATTACTAACACACAACTCGAAGATGACGATGGGTTGTGGCAATGTCAGGTGACGCAGGCATCCTTACAAGAGTTAACACTAACATCACCAGAAGTCAAGTTGACTGTTAGAGGTCAGTTATAGTCCGTACTTTCTAACTGTCTACTGTTGTTACGGTCATTAGAAAACCAAAAATTCAAACCACTCACAGATCTTTTAACTTCTTTGGATCTAAGTCAAAGAATTCTACAAAAATTTGCTTTTACAATCCCAGATCACGATAACAATAATAGTTTTTTAGGATTTGCTTTAACCGACCTATGTGTTTACATAACTACACTCAGTGTTATATATTCGCTCACTGCGCCACCTTGCACAAAGTTTTATTACGTATAAATTTTTAATGCTTATCACATTTAAGTGATGAAGTGAACTGAATTAAGGACTTAAAGGAATTTTCGTTTTAATGTTTGATTTACTGAATTTAAACACAACTAATTAAATGAACCATGATGGCTCAGGGGATAGAACTATAGTCTTCCAATAAGGTGAACCGGATCGAATCCTCTCCATGTTACGCAAATGCTGGTTAGTTACATAAAAAAAAAACTCCGCAAAGCCTCCAAAGAGCAAACGAAGGCAAATTTCTCCCAATACTTGACCTAGGAGTTTCCTTATCTTCTAGATTGGGTTCAAAATTACAAGGTTACGGAGTTGAACATTAGTAGTTGCAAACCCAAAAATTTGGGTCGGCTATTCAACGACGGTTATAAAATAAAATAAAAAACTACATTAAAGGCATGCAAATGTCTATAAAGGATCCAATGAGCCTGTTGTTATGAAGTTTTAAATAATTTTTCTGCATAATCATCGCCAGTACAAATAATGCGGTGGGCCAGAGCTTCCACGATAGCTCCCGGGATCTGTACTACCTATATTTGCGTTGGTTTGTAATTCCGAAGAAGCTACCGTAAATGAATATTCTAGGTATAACCAAATGGAACATTTTAAGCAAAAGAGCTGGAATAGCGAAAAATAATTATTATAAATGGCTTATATTGCTTGTTACCCTTTCATGAACGGGAATCATCACACAAGTAATTTATAAATAATATATGAGTGTAAATGCTATATCCTACAGCGGATTGAAAATAAGACTTACTTAAAAATTCGGAGAAATTAACACTCCATTAATCAAAATCTGATTCCTGCTGAAATGGTGTTATAACATGAGTACAAAACTAAATTTTATCATTAAATACACTCTAATTCCGATTTGGATAAGTGAATAAATGGTAATGCGGATATATTTGACAAAAGCAAGATAATAACAATTTAAAAAGATCACTCATTTTTATTCGAGCTTTTGAGCGAAATTCTAAAAGAATTTATTTGCTACACACAATTCTATTATTGAATAATAAAAGCAGGGGTTGATATTTTTTATACCTAAGCTCAATCTAGTGTAACTGTCGGAATTAGGGCACCATTTATATTTTCAAGTTGAATATATGGCTGGAGTGTTTATTTTATTATGCTTTTAAACCTTTATTGAAGAATCTTTACTTTACTTAGACGGAGCAAGGAAATCATGATTAAAAATCTCTAATTTATATGAGTCAAACTACTTACATTTAGTTTAAGTTTGATTTTAAAATATTCGAAAAAAAAACTTATACTTTAGCAACAAAACTTTAACACAACATAAACTTTAGCATATAACAAAACATAAAAATGAGTGTTGACGATTTTATTTTCCTTCAGAAAAATCTTACAGCAGAGAAAAACCATGACTGAAACTCCCTCTTTTTAACACGTTCCACTACTTACATTTAACTCAAGTTACATTTTAAACTTTTCGAATAAAACTACCATTTCTGTGACCAAACTTTCGAGTCAAACAAAGCAAGGCAAAACAGTATGAGTCGCATCAACAAATACTTTTGCATTTCTTCCTTTTTAAATTTTAGCCAGACTCGGATTGTCAGTTGAGGCATTTGTGAAAATGTTTATCCTCTTTTGCATCGAAAAAATCCCTCATATTCCCTACTCTCATGCCAGCTTGAAAGGGGGAAATGACTTTCCCCCTCTTCTTCTCTTCTCAGAAAACGTTGATGGCATGACGTGATGGGCATGCCGATGCCAGTTAAGTCGATCTTTCAGCCCAGAGTCTTCCTTCAACGAATGGAGAACGTCGGGAATATGGATGATTTTGAATCCAGGAAGATCTGTATCCCTTCGCAGAGATTATATCGCGAGAGGTGTGTTGCGAGAAGTTATGGGGGAAAGGGATGGATATTCAGCTTATGTGAAGTGCTTTTAAACCCTTATAGATGCATGGGGATTTATATTTTTAATACCATATTCTGGCAGATAATATTAATAAAGAAATCTGCCAAGTTTTATTGTTTTGCTGGAATTTCATTCTCAAGCTCTTAAACGCTATTTTTAAAAGCTTTTTGAAAAAAAGTCTTATATTTGGTTTTAAGATAAAGCGTGTTGTGTCAGGTAAAATATGTAAAATAATTTATGGAATTCCGAAACTCTTCTACAACGTTTTATCTCTTTGGATAGGTTTTGTTAAAACTCTTCCAAATAGTCATTAGTTTAAAAGAATATTGATTAGGCTGATTTTTAATATTTTTAGTATAATTAATAAAGATAACAATTTACTGATATAATAATGTAACAATGGTCTTGGAAAAAATGCTTAAAATATATTGAAATATTTCAAACTTAAAAAAATACTGTTCACAAAAAAGTTTTGTTTTGCAACATAATCCAGCTACCTTATACATCGCAAGTTAATAGCAATCGAAATTGTGGAATTCCACATTAGATTTTTCTGCTGCACCATTATCGGCTTTATATCATTTAAACCTTATTTTCTGCAATTAATACTTTACAATATTTAGTAAAGCAAATGTTTTACAAATGTTAAAAGAGAGAATTTTTGCTCGTCTGTTTAAGTTGCAGTCTACTATACTATTGTGTTTTACTAATAAGAAACGTGTTCAACCAAACATAAGTGTTAAAATGTTAATAACAGATGGTCGGTGATTGATATTAGATTATTCCCTTTTTTATTTATTTTACTTCATACATATACGCCTAATTAATATTAAAAATAGTATTGGTTTTGGTTATTATGCATTATGGTTTTCATGCATTGTTTGTTATGCATTTAATTAATAATAAGGAAAATATTGATAGTAATGATTTGTCAGATTTTAAAAGCTCGAAATAGCAACACTTAATGTTTTTTTTTAATTAAAGAAAAGCTTAAAAGTCAGTTCGAGCCTTAATGGCTCAGCAGATAAGCCTTAAAAATAACCAGGTGTTTTTAAGGTTAACAGTTGTGAAAAAAATCATCTGAAGTAGAAAATGAGGTTATGTTTTGCACCAAAATTAACCTCATTAATAAACCTAAATTTCAACCTCATTTACACAATATAAAATAAACAAAATATATTGCTCAGCAATAATTTTTGTTGTAATCGGATGGATTTATTCATATCTCAAATATACTCAATTGCATGAAATGTTCAAAAAATCAAATGTACATCGCAAACATATCAACCTCTTTAAATTATTTACTCTAAGGTAGATTTCTATCAACCTCAAAAATAACCTCAAGTGGGAATAAAATAACTGCATACCCCTTGATTATATTTCCTTGGGAGGTTTGAACTCAACTTCAAATGAACCTCGAATTAACCGTGACATCTCAAAGCACCCTCTTATAAAACTCAAAAACACATTATATTTTTGTAAGGGAAGACAATGAGGTGTCATTGAAAATGACTTTCATTCAATATAGGCATCTTGAAAAGCCTACTTAGTTTCAGATAGGGGTTAACCGGCAGATTTTGGAAGTAAAGGTGACTTGTGCAAGGTGTCAACCACAATGCCATAATCACACCGTTATACACGGAACTTTGATGTCCTGATTCCCATGTTCCCTTGACTTATATCGGTATTGCGGTAATGCTTCAATTTTTATTTTCAAGACTTGATTCAGCATATTAACATAAAGTTAATCAATTTAAGAACATGAAGCTTTTTTCTCGTCAAAGCTGATATACAGGAGACTGATATACAAACATTTTAAGGTTGGTATGGTAAAATAAAAATCTTAATTCTACATGACACCATGAAATAGGCTAACATACAAATCTTTAATTTAGTTCAATCTCTCATTTAAAAGTAGGTTCTTAGACAAAATGGAATTTAATGAAACATAGTAATCAGAATATTAGCCATTGACTGAGTTTAACTGTAATAATACAGCTTCAAAAAGCACCACAACTTTGGTACATTGTCACGCCATACTACTTTTAATATATATTCATTGTTCTGTCTGGGAATCACAAGTTGTTATCAGATAGCAGTCTCAGTTGGTTACTTTCAATTAGGTTTGGGTTTCAACTCGTTATTGTCATACTGTAAATAAATTGGCACCCATTGTTTGAATAACTTTTTCAAACAATATATTGTTCACATTACAAACTTATTTAGCTAACTTTAAGCCATACAAAATCGTTCATATTATCAAATGCGAACTAAAGCATGGATGATGATTCCAGAATTAGAATGATGCAGTTTATTAAAAAAAAACCGAAAATAAAAAAAACAATGAGCAGATATAATTCCCAGATGGCAGGCAACCTTACAGGCAAACGTCGTACTTTCATTTTCACTTGGTTGGCATAGGAAGGTTGACAAAGTAATCTTTCTTTTTTTTAATTTAAACATAATAAGTATGTCAAGCTTGTTTCCTTGAAGATCGGATTTAAGACAGGTAAACAATTTTACAAAAAAATCTCAATTTTTAGCTTTTACTGTAAGTCTTGAGTTTATTTCTTTTTCATTCTAGTTTTATATCATCTCTCACATAAAACATTTTGTTTGTGTTGAAAACTTAATAATCAAGCCAACCTTCACCAAAAAGTACATGAAAACCTACGCAAGTAAACCTTGTATCAGTGATGTTCATAAAATCTAAAATTGACTTTGAGAATGGGAATATATCCTCTGTTACTGAAGGCTTCCTATTCTTGGTTTACATATGATAATTCATCCTTAATTTCAGAAGGTTTTTCTAACTTTGTTTTGTAAACGCAGATTGAATGTTGGTATCAAAGGGTTTTTTATGTAAATTTATTGTGAAACGCGTGAATCGTAGTTAAATTTAACATTATTTCTAATTTGCATGATTTATTTGGCAATTATTTATATAGCTTGTTGAGATTTGTGATAAAGGTTGTTTTATTCATTACAATCAACCTTGCACTGCAATATGGAACTTAAATGTTCCTAGAATTCATTCTATGTGTTACATGTATAGTATATGTTGTATAGTTACATGTATATAATTCATGTTACATGTATAGTATACTTTTACATGTTCCTCACAGCTGCATTAAATCTAATTAGTAAACCATGAGTACTATCCGAATAAATTATAAAAGCTTGTTGTGAATACTAGTACTATTTCTAGTAACTATAACTATAAAAATTGAATTCTGAAATAAATCAAAATTGGATTTCATTTCCCCCTCAATACTCAGAGTTCTAATAAATATATTCAGCTAAAATATGAATGATAAAAATAATGCAAGATGCTAGAGACAACAACGTTGCACATTTTTTTTATCAATTGTTACTTCCTCAGCATTCGAGATAACCCCATCTCTTAAACTTATTTATGAATGAAGCAATATCACTATTACAAAATTTATAAGTGCATCGTCGATAGATGTGTTCTTTCTAAAATATATTTTCCTTGTAAGGAAGAAGCATATCGAGTAAGAACTTTATTAAATAATACAGAATTTTTGCATCATATATCGGACGAGAAAATATCTGAATTTTAAATAACGGCATAAGACTACTTGGTTAGTATTTTTTTCTCCTCCTTCTGAAACTTATTCGAGTGTTCCTGATCGATTTTATATTCTATTACCAGCTTGTATATGGTTTTAAAAAAAACAGAGTATCGTAGTGTGTATTGTTTCTCTTAAGGAATTTTTTCAGGAAAAAACTATCACCACGAAAAACAGAATGCGATATTTGAAAAAAAGAAACTTGGCAATCGATAATGCAAGCATATCGAGGAAATTCATATTTCGTTGAATGTGATATTTCTCGCATGCATTTTATTTTTTTGATTTATTTTATTTTATTTTTTTCCTCACATGTGAAAATGGATATTCTGGAATGAGTTGGCAAATGATAATGCTTACATGCATAATGTAGCGAATGTAAATTATTTTTTTCGAAAACTTAGCCACTGCCTGAAAGAAGAATGGTTTCTTATCAAAATAAAGGAATATAAAATTATTTTTAGACAAAAAAACCCCAGCACAAATGGACTTAAATATGAAAATAAAATTAAATATTTATTTGCCTTTATTACCTTCGTTATCATATTTTTTATTATTGTCATTTAAAAAGTTATCGTAACCTTTTTAACCATATTTTTTATTAAATTAGATTTTAGTAAATTTTACCAATAAGTTTGTATTTCTGTTCTTTATGTTCAAAATTTTAAAATTAACATTATTTCTAGAGAATGTTAACTTCTTTAAAGTTTTACTAGCTTTTATTTAACAAAATAATGAAAATGAACAAACTTTTTGACGTGAAACAGCCTTTCTTGCTATCCCAAATTCCAAATCTTCTGAAAATTACCTAATAAAGGATTCCCTTTTAAGCTGCAAGACAAATATAGTTTTAATGGTAACATCTAGCTTGGTTGATTTCTGCAACTAAACCATAAATTTAAAAATATTATTGTAAATATTTATGCAAACACCGTTTCATTACCGAATGATTTAAAGAAAACTTATTTGCTTCTAAAATATTTCAACTAGACTGAGCTCACAAAGCAAAAGAATGTGTTATCTAAATGGATTTTTTTCAAATGCATTTTTTTCTGAGCTATATTTTCTGAAACAATAGTTTTGATGTTTTAGAAAGAATTAGGAAAATGGATATTAATTAAATTTGCTTTAAATTTTTCAGTCTTTTTTAAAAACTCTTTATAGTTGGAATTATTCCTATAAAACTTAAGAATCTGATAGGTAGTAATATTGGAAAAAATCGTATTGACTAAGTTGCCAGTAAAATCAATGCTGCTTTCGATTGGAAAGTTAAAATTATTTCTTGTTCGAAAAAGTTTAAATATAATTTTTCTATCTTTATTAATAATACGAGTTAAATCTAGAAAATCTGTTGAAGAATTTCAAATATTAGTTTTGTTAAGAATTAATTCTCTTGGATAAATTCGTTTGGCTAAAATACCAAAATCGTCAAAATTAGTAATCAAAAGGTCATCAATAAATCTGAAAAAGAAGGAATTTGTAGGAAGATTAACATATGATTTCATGAATCTATGTTCTTGTAGAAAAAAAATACTTCAAACATTAGTACTAAAATTATTTTCCATTAGGATACCAATAATTTGTTGAAAAAGACAGTCGTTAAATAGATTATGATTGTTGTTGAGGTTGATATGAACTAGGCTAGTATGAACTATCATTAAGATTAAACAAGTTATGAATTTGAAGTAGGTTATCAAGAATTTTATTAGTTGGAAGGGGGATATATAAGTTTTTGAATTCGCATTTGTAATTGGCATTATTTTATTGATAATAATATCACTACTGGTATTATATAAATATATATAGCGTGTATAACTGTGATAAAAGTTATAAAGTAGTAAATTACTTTTGATACCAGATAGCAAAAATTTTCTAGTGGCAAAATGGCATTCCGTGTAGGGTTGCACAACTTTGTGTAGCTTTAAATATTTCATAATTTGTACGTTAGGTGACTAATTAACTTTTGTTGGTAATTTAAAAAATATATAATTTAATCTAAAGTACATTTTTACACAGCAGTGTTTGCTTCTCCAAAATGATAGAAACTGTTTTGACCATTTTGTGGTTTCTTCCCTACTTTGTTCAAGCGTTATCCGATTTCCGAAAGCGGAAAGTCGTGATATTCCTTACCTAGGAAAAGAATTAGAACTATAGAAACTGAACACACGACGACGTTCTTTTAATAGCTTCTTTATAGAAGAATGAAAATTTATAAATATATTCATATTTTTTTTTTCAGAGGCACCTTATCCACCCATTATAGAAGACACCACCATCCAAATAGTTCAAGGTGATCCCTTTACAGCTCGAGCTAATGAACCAAAACGTCTGCACTGTATAGCACGTAAAGGTAACCCTCCTGCTTCACTAAAATGGTTCATAAACCATGTTGAAGTAACTACTAATGTCAACCAAACCAACATCAGAGACGTTGAAAAGCGAAAAACATGGCAGGCTGTTAGTGCTCTTGATATGACCTTCACCAAAGAAGACAATCACAAGCTTCTGAAATGTGTTGCTATACACGATGCTTATGATACTAAAGCTAAAGATATTACAGTGCAACTGGAAATTCTGTGTAAGTTGATTTCTTTTTCGATCAAATAATCAAATTTGCATTTAGAGTAATTTTTCTTTCCCGATCAAATAATCAATTTTGTGTTTAAAGTTATTATGCCAATAAAGATAATTCTAAAAGTTATCTAATATTCATTAGATTTAAAGGGAAGCTGCAGAATAGTTATCGAGAAATAAATTTAAGGTGTAATTTTGAAAAGCTATTATAATTTTATAGCTTAATAAATAAATTTTATAAGGCTTGATAACTCAGAAACTAATCGATTGATTTCGTTCAAATTTTGTATTTTACCATTTATAAATATTATTTACTTAAATTGATGTCAAAACTTGTATACCATAGGTTTTTCGATTGGTTTTTTTGAATAAAATAATAAAAAAACTAAACATTAAAAAAATGTTTGCATAAAAAGTATTTTATAATGAATGAATGTTATAATTGTGTGAAAAAATGCTTAGATTCATCAAAAAAGCTTCCAAGTTATTGTAAAATACGCAAAAAGGGAAGTTAATATTAAAGAGTCCAAACATTCGATCTCTTTCGAGCCTGAACAATTTGAGCCAAATTTTCTAGATTGTGGCTATCCCCCCCCCCCCGATACATATTTTGAGGGTCAGAACACAAACTCATCGAAAAAAGTATGTTTATTCAGAAAGAGCAGGTTTGAGTGTCTGATGTTGAAATTTACTAGATCATCTGCACTACACTGTAAAAATTACCAGAATTTTGGTTACATCACATCAGTAAAATCCGTTGCATTCCATCATCAGTTTACCGTGAAATTTATTTTTGCCTTAAAATATTGTACAGTAATTTTTACAGTAATATTTATTCAATAATAGTGATTCAGCGATTTTACGATAATAATTACTGCAAAAATTACGGTACATCATATTTTTTGTTCTATAACATGTTTCGGAAAAAATGGATTTTGCGATAAAAAGTATCAGCATCCTGATTGTCAGTACTTTTCATCGTAACTTGATCCACAATATTTTACAGCGTACTTTTTTACAGTGAACCATTAAGACAGAGTCCTAGTTTTATAGCATTATATCAAAAAAGAAAAATAAATCAGGATGATTACTTTTATATGCGCAATGAACAATGAAATAACTTTTCAAGCTGATGTATTTTAGTGCTTTAATTACAAATATTCAGAGCATTTTGGTACTGTTCATTAACTTCTTTTATGAAATATTTTGAATAATGAGTAAAAATCGGGGTGTTAATAGGGCATATCCACTTAAACCTATCATAAAAATAAACCACCTATTTTAAAATGTACATATATATATATATATATATATATATATACAGTGGTGGCCAAAAGTGTGGACACTTTTTGAAAGTTTCATGTTTTTCAACTTTGTGTGCTTGTAGAATATATTAATTTTCACTTAAATACAAACGTTTACATTTCAAATTGAAGGTAATTTAATGTAGAATTTAATAATAAATACAGTATTACAATATCTGCATTACAAAAAAAGTTATGCAAATATAAGTAAGATCTATCTTAGATTTGCATTTTTTTAAAGTGATACTTACACAATCAATACTTAGTAGGATAACCCTTATTTTTTAAGACAGCTTCACAGCGTCTTTTCATCGAGTGAACGAGTGTTTGGAGTTCATCTTTCGTAA